AATAAGTGTTTTTCCAAAGAAACGGACGCATTGTTACATCAAATATGGTATTTTTATAAAATATTACTATCATATTTTGAAAAAAGGAAAGAAAACAACATGAAATCAGTGTATACAATCTTGATATGCAAGAAAAATATCATTCTTTACATATTTTAACATATTTATATTTTGCAATTTACTCTTATTAATTTGTATTCAACACAATCAAAATTAATGCACACTGCACATTTTCTTTGAGATACACCGACGCATCCTCCCTAGGCTTCATATATCATGTCACCTAACGCTAGAAATTTGAATATTAAACTCATCTAACACCAATCCTATCCTTGGGAGAGCTCTAAAGACTGCAAATATTTTGTTATAATGGTATCTTTACTATTCAATTTCTGAACCCAATTAACATAAAGTTTGTCATTTAACATTTAAGAATAATCTGATTTAAGATCTTATTTCAGCATATTTTACTGTATGAATCATGTTGAATGTCGGTAAGACTATCGACTAGATAAATCTATGATTACATAACACTCAACAAATCACATTTTCTTGTGTTTATTTTCGCGCCTTCTATAAAATCTTTCGTATCTGATTGGCTATTGTGACTAACAGCTGGGTAATCTAAACACTTTAGCATGTGTTCATTTTATTTGTACGAAATTCTGGATGAATGGAGTCAATTAAAGAACTTGTTAAAGCGTTCCAAATCATTAAAGGACAATGCTGTTAGGGGGGTGATGTTTTGTTGTTTTAAAAACTCAAATAAAAAAATTAAAAAAAAAAAATTAAAGTTTTTCCTTTTGTCAAAAAGGTCCAAACAAAAGAGTGTATTTTTAAAGCGAATACAAATCCCATACCTTCCAGGTGTGCTAAATTTTCAATATTCTTTTGCTAAAAAAAAGTTTGTTTTTGATAGATTTAAAAATTGGGAAAAACAATTTCTGTTTTCTTATTTTCCCAAATCTTTTAAAAATTTTTTTCAAAAATATGTCCCCTTTGTTTGAGCATAAAACAAATATAATGCAGAAAAAAAAATTGCAATTATGCATAAGAAATTTTAAAGAAAAAAAAACTAAAAAAACCCTGAAAGGGGTTTTCTAATTATATAAACAAAACAAATCATACAAAAGTTTCTTTTCCTTTAAATTTATAGATACAAGAAAAACAGGGCAGAAAACGTGTTTTTTTCCCCTGTTTCGAAAGATGGTGGGATAAAAAGTCCCAAAAATGTTGGGGCAGAAAAAAAAATTTATGTTAAAATTTTTTTAAAAAGAGATAAGAAATTGTTTTAAACCCCAAAGCTTTTTAACTTTGAATGTTTAAAAAACAAATTTCTAAGATAAAGTTTTGGGTTTTTTTTGCCCTTGATGAAGACAAAGATAAAATCAAAGGGTAAATGTAAAAATCGTTTCCCGTTAAAAAAATTAGCAATAAAAATTTAAAGGGGCAATACAAAGTTTAAAAACGATAATAAAACATGTAACTGTTAATCGTTATTGATTTAAAAAAACTATTTACTAACATTTTACATATACTGTACATACAAATGAAAAAAATCCTATAATTATCCCTTTTTTTATCTTTCCCATTTTCAAATTTTCAAATTTTTTGGGGTTTGTCGAAATATATACCGGTATTCCCTTTATTTTTTTGTTCCATTTACATCTTGAGCTCTAAAGAATGGACAAAATCTAAAAGTTTAAGCTATGTTGTGAAATTACTAATTTACATGCTTTTTCTGGATTTGACAAGTAAACGGGTAAAAGCATGCTTTGCATACAAATGTTTAACGTTTCCAGAGAGAGCAAATACAAGGCAAGACTTCACATGACAGTTCATGCACAAGAATGTAGTCAATGGAGTTCCTGTGTTCAGTATAAATCAATGAAGACATAAATGTGTGATGTACTAGAAATACATATGTCAGTCTAATCTCTCGATCATAACGCATGACTCTGGTTTAGATATAGAAACATTGTGAATAAATAAACATATAGCTCGTTTTGAGTGAAATAACGGTCAATAATTGATTTTTGTAACATTAATAACTTTCGACAGATAAAAAATCCATAATTCATCAACTATCATATTTGAATTCCTACCCATTTAAATTGGTATTATCAAAATTTATCAAAACCAAATACATATAATGACCCGAATCCATTGTTCCGGGTACTCTAATGTCAGTGTGTATAATCAAATGTCCTAATATAATGTAATGTAAAAATACCCCAAAACCAACCGAAGAAACATGCTTTCATTTTGAATAATACACAATATATTTGTACGTGTATGAATAGTCTACACGAATAAATAATAAAATCACCAGAGATACAACAATATATGAATAATCATGCGCATAACAGCCTGTCCTTGAAGTAAATCAAATTGTAAACATATAGCAGATATATAATCTATTTCTAAACAACCTTTCAAACAATGTATTTAAACAATCAAAATGACAGTAATATCAGTTATGTAACACGGGCGTAATCAATACACGTAAAAGCAAATTAAAGAAAATATATTAAGAAAATATAGTTTTTCATCTTTGCAAATAAACATTTTTTGATAAATTAAAATTCGTGCCAGTATTCAATCACAATGTTATAACTTATATCGTTATTATTTCATAAAATCTATTTATGCCATTTGAGCAAACTGTATTTTTACTATTGGTTGACATAAACACATTGTTTAGTTACCACACAGATAAATATAATTGGCAATATTCAGTTGTTAAACCTTTAAAAGAACAGATATGATTACTAGTAAATATCTTTGCACAGTAAGTCTTAATCAATCATTTCTGAAAAATGTTACTGTATTCACCTTCCTTGGTTCTTTTACGAAAAGAGAAATAACATTTCAAAGCATATGTCTATTGACAATGGTTTGTTTGTTTGCTTTCTATGATATATTAACAATGTCATCACTAGTTTTTACAATCTTACATAAAGATAGAAATACAATTTCCTTTCCAATAAACAACAGTTGTATTACTATGATAGTTATTGCATTATGATGCATTTCTCTTGTGACTTACAGACACCTGAAATTGTAGTTATAGATTGGTTTGATATAATGCCAAGATGGCAGGGGAAAATAAACAAGTTGTTTGTCTTATGTCATATGTAAATCTGAAAAACACAAAGAAGGGTGCCGTAATAACTATAAATAAACATACAAATATTTCTGCCTAAAAAGTTTTAACACATGTTTTTGAAGTACAATTGCTTTGTCTTATGCCAACAGAACTTTTAATTGTTAGGTTATGTATGTCAATCTACATTGCTATTATAGGGTTTTGTTTAAAACCATAATTAAATGGCTACCAGAAATAGAAGTAAAATCTTTAACAGAAAATTATTATTATTATTATTATAAGTCAGTTTGATCGAGCTATGTTGAAGAATAATCTTTACAACGGACAAGTATATTTTGACTTCCTTATTGTATATATGTAACATCCGCCAAGAAATATTGGCTGTGTATATTTTTTTTATAAATGAAATCATTGACATGTCTGTTCATAAATTCAACAGTACTAATAGCAGTTGTATGAAAATTAGCGGCAAGTTGTTACATTTTATGATCGTCATTACATGACCTAGTCTCAATATTTCGACGGCAAGACAGACCGATTTTATAATCTGATATTTTATAGATGTCTGTCTTTTGCGAAGGGCGACCACCGAATATACAAAAAAAGCCCTAAAGCGCACAATTTGTTGGGCTATACATGACCATAATATTCATTTCTGGATTTCTATCTTCAATATGACAATTCCAGATTATGTATGTCATGCCAGCATAACATAGGCAATAATACACACTAATTTTGTCCCAGGTTATTGTGCGATAAAAACCCCAAACCCCAAAATGTTTAAAGCATCACAGGTTTGTCAAAAACATATCAATTGAAACAGTGCAGTATACAAGTAAATGTACTTAATTTAAAATGCAAAGTGCAAAGTAAGGACAACAATACTTCAAATATTGCATACAGATGGTAAATGACGATAATCATGTAAATTTTTTACAACGTCTCTTACTCGTAGACATTCCATTTTCTGTCAGTATACTTTATAGATTTTCTTTAACCATACTGAATTTATAAAGTTGTCGACAGGTAAACGTGTTTAATAACTTGATAATGAGATAATGTTTTAATCAAAGCTTAGGTTCATTACTTTAACACGAACTATACCAGATTCGAGCTGCCAAAGAAGAAGTATTTAGTTGGTAAACATATTATGTAATACGTATTAATATCATAATATTTGTTTTGATTGGAAACACATGTTTAGCAAATTAGATCAGTCTGAGACTTACTTTAAGAGAAAGTCAATTTCAATAAAAGATTCTCAAATAAAGAACGGGAGATACTTAGAATCTTATGCTATGACGCACGTTTTAGATTAGAATTACTTAGGATTTCTCATTAACTTTCTAAGAAGTAATCCTCGATTTGAATAAAACAGAGCTAGCCTCCCAGTTGATAACTTGTGATTTCTTTTACCATGATTTTACACAAGAAGTGTCAGTCAGGAAATAAAATTTACCTACAAACATTTTCATTGTTATTTGTTTAATCCAAGGAAATACTGTTCTGAAAGATCGCATTTATTCATCATCTAACAAACTAGTTAATCATAAAGCAATACAAGTTAAAGTTTATATTTTTTCTGTTTATTTAGGTGTCGAATGTTTCTTATATGTTTGAAGGGCTATCATGATGAAATGTTAGGTATATTTTACATTTGGTTACCACATACAACACCTGATTGGGTTCTCAGCTAACAGAATATTACTTAATCAAAATTTGATAGTTTCTTCTCTTGACTAGTATTAATATTAGGTATTATTAGAATACGTTGTTTAATGCTTGATTTGTTGAACTAATGTGCATGCATGCCTAAAACTATGAAACTTCATTTCTGACTCAATAATTACTTTCTTTTTAATCGTAAGACTGAAAAAAGATTTATACTCACCAAATTGCAGTGAACATTTAATTCATTGGTAGTCCTTTTTCTTTCTAAGATTTTATAACAATTCCTTAGATTGATCGTATTTAGTGTAGGACTAGTAAACCCGAGTCTTCACGAATATCTGTCATGAATATTCAATGAGTTATCCAATTTAAATCTGAAAGAGAAGAAAAGCAAAGCGTTACTTCAGTGGTGGTTAAACCACATTAATGTATGAGCTATTTCTGCATCACAGCCTACCGCTGATTCATCTTCCGCAGTGTAAACACAAACATAACTTATTACATAACTTGCATTTATAAAACACCCACGCCTTGTTTATTCAATTTAACTTGATTACACTACTATTATATTACATTATTATATTATTTTAATCATTTTTAATAACGGTTTTAATTGCCGATAGGAGATATTCATATTAAACAATCATTCTTATTATCAAATACTATCTGCAATTAGATCTGTGATGATAATGATGTAACTGTCAACAAATACACGAAGGCAAATAGCTGTTTGGATGATTTTACTGTTTACTATTACAATACAACGCACCGCATCCTCGTTTGCATTTCTTATTAGTGATTTATGGATACCTCAACTAAGTTATTTTGTTATAAAATAATTCATAAGAAAATGTTTGCACAGTTGAATTAAATCAGTAATGATGACATTTTTGAAAACCCCGCACCATTGTTCATTTTAATTCGTCATCAATAAATGTAGTTTTTATATTGCTATTGTTAGTCTGATTCGATCAACTTACACACATGTTAATACTTCTGTTCCAAAATAATGACAATATTGTTAGACAAACAACATGAATTGATTTTATAAGTCTTTTATGTATACAATTTTAATGGAACTACTTCAATTTATAAAGCAAAATTAATTAAGCAATACTTCATTTGGGATTTAAGCATATTTTGCTTTTCTGATAATTAGAATAACAAACTCTACTGGGAAAGTTTGAATGTGTTTCAAGTGGTAATCGACATTAGTTTATTTGTTACAATTTACATACAGTTTGCTGCCTTAGCAGCAGTAGTTGCAGTAAAATGTTGGCCCGTCGAGATTGTTAATTTATGTCTGGCCATTTCTTTGATTTCAATTGCTTAAGCTGTTACTAGGCAACATGATAAATGAAGCACTTTTCATTTTCTCTCATAAACAAACTTAATAAAATCGAGTCTACGATATTCCATGCCTTTTCCCATTGTCACAATGAGTCCGATTACCAGACACATTCCTTATGGCAAATATTCCTATTTTTTTCCATTCTTTAAAAAATCCCAATGAACTGAAATTCTCGAAATTTTCCAAACCGGGCTATGTACATTTTTCCAAAATGGCTAGGTTTGTTTTCATTTCTCTCAAGGAATCTCTTCTTTCTAGATCCATGTACTAATGATAAATATTTATATAATGTACCTGCTTCTGATTGATTGTATTTATTTTTATAAACTGACATTAGTTCTTTCATCAGAGTTTGGTACAATAATATAAAGACAGATATAAATTTAACATTAATTTTCATTTTCACAGTTCTAAGTGACAAGAGTATGATAAATGGGAACATAATATATAGGGGAATCCTATAATGCAATTCTTGATAAACGAAAATCGGCGTATTTCAGTTGGGAGATCTTTCAAGGGCGTGATGTATATTGATGTATGTGTAAGTTATACATTCAAATAAAAGCGCACGAGAACTAATGCTTCAAATATCGATGTTGTTTGTACAAAAACACATTTCTTGTATTAATTACGCACATTACTGCAAATATTGATTGTTACATTGTTACACCTTTTAATGTATTCAGGCATGATGATAACTTTGTAGTTAATAAAAATATGTGAACACTGAACATACCAGACCATGGTGGTGCACCTGATTGTTCTAATGTTAGGAGTGTCAGTTGGCTGCACAAAAGAACTATATCGTTTACATACGTTAGTATACATTGTCTTATTAAACTCAAGTACCCTCGTATCCGTTCCAGTTGTGTCAGGAAATACTGGCTCAAAATCAAATGTCGGTACGACATGCATAAAGTTGTTAAACTGAACTATTTAGAAGGTCATATAGTGCATTTCGTACATAAACATATATGCTGTTATGTTTTTAACTCTAAGATGTTTAGCATTGCTTTATTGCTCCATCAGTTGCAAATAAGCCGTTAAATAGTTAGTAAATTGACACTTACTAGAAAGGCCTTATTACAATTACATTAATCATGCATAAAGGTTAAATGTATGTTAGATACACATATTGCAGACGACGACAGAGATTAAAAAATATATATAAGTTTAATTTAAACACATATGTATTATATTTATAGAACCACTCACGAGTACCTTTGAAGGAAAAAGGCACTACTGGTACAGACTCTAATAGGGTTCGAAGTCACGATCTCATGGTTGGGAGGTAGACACTTCAGCCACATGACCAACTTTCTCTCTCTTAAGACAAGAGAAAAGTGTCACAATTAAATGACATTTATGTTATTATAAAAACACGTTACTACGATCTTATCACTATGACCTTGTAACTGTATAATTTCTGCAATGCACTTATTGAAATATAAGAAATAAATTGAAGACTGAATCATACTTTTATATCATTGCTTATATTTTAATGAAGTCGTTCAAAGCCTCTCTGTTTGTCTGTTCCATTAATATTTAAATAATTATATTCTTATATTTTCATATGTAAAATATATAGCTTTATGAAAATGTTATATAAATTGTTTTAAAACTGTAAACATATGTTATAATTTTATAAACAACTGTTATGTATAATAAAGTGAAAATTAACAGCAAGGAGACCTGCGGCATAGTTAACTTGTCGGTTTTCCAAAAACGTTTGGCAATCAGTAACATTTAAGTGTTTATTTGTTTATTTTTTTTTACATACTGTGAAATGGGACAGGGGGTTTTGTACATTTTAACTATTTAACTATTTTGCAAATGAATTTGTAGACTTTAGTATGAAATGGATATCAATATAAACTTTAACACCCCCCCCCCAAAAAAAAAACAATAAAAAAACCAAAAAAAAAACAACAAAAAACAACTTAATATCGTTATATTTATAATTCATAAACAAACAAGCTTTTCGAACGATTTTTCTTTGTCTGTTAGTGTAAATTGGTCTATTATGGAAGGTGTGTTGTACTAGAAATGAGTACATTGATAGTTTTTAAAATAGACATAACAGCAAATCACGAAAGAATTATATTTGAATGCTGTTTGCATGTGTAAGATACGTGTTCCATTATTACATATATTCATAATAAAGTGTTTTAGACCAAACTTTTTATTATTCATCATATCTAAATGCTCAAAAAAATCACTAAGAACTTTATCAACATTTCTTTTCAAGATTTACTTTATAAGAATATCCAAATGATACATTTATGTTGTTCTGTAACAATATTTTAAATACTTATGGAAAATGTTACCATTGCAGACCAATTCACTTTGAAGTACAACTTTTCAGCAATGCAGAGTACAGCAGACAATTATTAAGCTGTATGTTAGAAACCATAGACGCAATTGCATTCATCTTAAATCAAATGGAGGGATAACAACTAAACTCACACCGTTGCTTTTTACCAAATGTATTTTTATAATCCCTTCGTTACAAACAATAAAATAATTATTTTGATGGTATGCCAGAATGACAAGAACGGAATAGCAATTAGTATGTCGTAAATCAATCACTAGTATAGAAAACAGGTAGTTTTACTTGATGATAATAAACATACACATATCTCGAAAAAAGTCCTTGGCAACAGTTTTCAGGAAAGTTATTTTCAAACTCTGGAGATATATCAGAATAACATTATACGTATAACACAAAAATATTTGAATATTGTAAAATATGGCTAATAATATTTGCAGAATAAGTTTTGTTAAGTTTGTTGTCATCAATTATTATATAGAAATGAAGCAGTTATACATTGATCTGCGATAATAAAGGCAAAACAACAAAAATTTGGTCGGTAGAAATTGTTCTAGAAATAGTTTATGTGGCTGCCTGTCCGCCCAAACATGGATTTCAGTTTCAGAAAATTTTGGCAATAGGATTGTAAAATACACTTGTCAGAACAGAACGTAGGTAATTAATGTTAAGTTATGTCTTATAAAGTTTTCGAATTCATCAACAACTATTTACGTGACATTCTTTCTGTATTAAAATATTTATATAAACGTTACCAAAAAGCGTACTGTGCATATAAAAGGAGAGACGATTGCCAAATATACAAGCAACAACAACAATAACAACAACAACAGCATTAACACCCCCTCCCCCCAAAAAAACTGTATTTTGTTTTGATTCGATAATTTCAACATACATACATACTCTGCATTCAGGGACCTTGCATTCCAGTTCTTAATATTTCACATTTCATTCATGAAGCAAAAACTTTATAAATTCCAACACTAATGTATTATTCAAACAGCCTCAATATACTGAAATGTTTATTTTAAAGAAATATTTTGCATCAACGTTTACGTGAAAGTAACATTGACATGTGAAACATCTGTTTTCATTTCAATAACCTACTGTTGCAAGTAATTTGGTGGAAAATCAAAAGTAAAAAGCAAATAAAAGTTTATGGCCTATATTTTATAGCTATTTTACCAAACAACATTTTGGCAAGCTAAGAGCAAATTCATGTGCAGTTTTTATTACATAAAAGGTGAACCGCGATCGTATTTAAAATATATCTATAACATAACGACGAAGTTATAAAACTAAGATATGTTAACATGAACAACACAGACGAATTTATAAAAAAATATCTATGTAACCGAAATTCTTGTACTAAAACCTATCGTTTCAATTTCACAATGACTGTTGAACTATTCTAGTAAGATGCCTGGGTTTAGAAAACAAAATAATACATCTGACTATATGTTTCATATTTAAGTACCCATCTCGTTTTATTATACATTAAAGGAACTCCACTGAGGCTTATAAACCTAAAAACATAAAATTTTATGTTTTCAAATAGATAAACATTAGCACTTAAAACAGAAATTAAAATAAAATATAACCAAGAAATATACAAGACATACATTGAAAATCATATGTTTGTGCTATGCTCAGTCCAATTTGAGTGAAAAGCGTTTAAACGCTTTTCAATTTTGGGTCATTTTTCACTATTATAATAATTATTCTGGAAAAACGTAGCGAGCTAATGATCTGATATTTTGGACATAACTTATTAGTATAGATCTACATCAAATGGAGTAATAATCTCAAAAAATATTTCCAGTTCCGTCATGTCAAAAAACCTCAGGGGAGTCCCTTTAAGTTTTTTGACAAATGTATCGTATAACATGACGCAGATGTATCTAGAACGTTTTCTTAGAAATCAGGAGTGTTGTTAAACGTGATGTCCAATGCATGTATAAGATAGCGAATCCTAAACAACTTAAATATTTAGATGGAATCAATAAAGACTCAGAAAAGTCATAGAATGTATGGCAACAGGGGAATCAGGTCTGGTAACCATTCCTTGCAGCTTATGTAGCTTTGCAGTCTAATTTGTTTTAAAATGTGCCAGAATTATATCAATATTTGGCATACCCAAAATGTAAATGCTTTATAAAGTATTGATAATTATTTAATCCACTTAATCTCATTTAAAACACAGAATTATCATGTTTAAATTATCTTCTTTCGTACTGAAACTAATTGTTATTGAATTGTCTGAATCAAGAAATCTAATTCGTACATTTCAGATTACATAAATAACAATATTAAAATAAATTTAAAAACTGGATGGATATATGGATGGATGGAGGGATGAATGACTATAAAAGTACTGAGATGACGTATGTACGCGTAGATGTCAGGCGTACAATATTATACTACCAAATTTGAAGAAAATATATATAAAAACAATATTAAAGATCATCACCTACCGAGCTCTTCAGGAATATATTAACGTAAGATATTTATTTTGGTAAATAAACGGTACGGTCAATGGTAAATAAACGGTACGTTCAAGGTTAAAAACAACAACAAAACAAGATGTACAGATATGCTTTCAAACCAATTAAGACGCTATAATCTGGTTATTTGTTGCTAGGAATAAACTTTTATTTATTATTCAAATTTCCACTTTGCCATCTACCTTTCACGATTCTCTATATATATCAAGGTTAAGACTTTATATTAATACAAATCACCTTTTAAAAACATTTGAAAATAGCTCTCAAATACAAGGGTAAACAAAATACTAACAAATAATTTGAATATTAAATCCGTTCTGCAAGAAATAAATCCGCGGCAAATCGCTTAGATTTGCACATGTCTGGTGTTACCATTCAATCGTTAAATTTAATTGACGAGGACTGTGTCATTTTACTTCTTCGTTCAATCTGATTTACAAAAATAGCTACACTTTACATGTTTCATATATGATACATCTCTCTAAATGAACACCGTTCAATTACATAACATGCATGAAAAAGTCTAATTGTGTTTATTTTTATACCACCTGAATAATCTTATATTTCTGATTGGCTGTCGTGATTAACAGCTGAACATGCTTGACATTTTAATTCGTGTTTGTTTGCTGAACGTCTGAAGAGTCTTTTATTTTTTGTTATGTAGCAGTTGTTTCTTCTGCGACTATGGAAATTCTGGAGAGGGAGAAACCTCCGTGAGTGTAATGAAAACAAACAAAACCCTATTGTATCGGTTTTACTGAGTCTGTTAATGTTAACTAATGCGCAACGTCTTTCCTGCACCCAAGCACCGACTTAAGAAATACTCACAGCTAAAAATTTAAGCAGGAAAAAGTTATAGATACATATAATAACCCGGAATATTATATACAAAGTACAGTTCACAAAAGCATTTTACGTCCCTACACCTGTGCTTTAAAAAAAATTCGTTAAAGTGCTTATATTTAATTTAAACTATAAAAAGTGTTCTACCATAAAATTGCTTTTTGCCAAAACATAATTTAACTCATTTTATGTGAATCCACAATAACGAGTGAAAGTTTGGTGTAAGTGGAGAGAGATTTTATTCTTGTGTATGTACTTATATTCAAGTATCTCTGGAGCATGCATTATAAAATATAGTATGTCACAGACGTATTCACCTATTTATAGGTTATATAGTTTTCGCTCCCTCAATCTGTTCAGCCCTTTTATAAGACATTTACATATTATAGATTTTTCTTGTAATGCTATAATCTCTCGCTGTTGTCATTATGACAATATTCATTATGATAACATTAGAATATTTTTGACGACAGGTCAGAATACCAGACTGACACAAAAAACAACAACAAACAACTATTTGTTTGTCTGTTGCCAACTGAAGGAATGGCAAACAGGAAGTGTTTTTTTCTATAATGACACTGGAGTGTTAATGAAATTCCTTCACCTTCCAAAACATTATATAAATAACACATGGGTTTGTGGGTAACAGTAAAAATATCATCCTGAGAAAAATATATTGTTACCCGAGGCGTAGCCGAGGGTAACAGTATTTTACGAGAGAGGATATTTTTACTGTTACTCACAAACCCATGTGTTATTTATTTTATTACTCCAAACAAACACTGTGATCATATGAAATTGTCAATGTTCAAAATCTAACTGTAACAAAAATAAACCAAGATAAACAAAAACTAAACTTTCCTTACCTTTTAAGTTTTAAGTGTACTGTACAGTAGGCCTACTTGAGGTTTTTTTTTCTTTTACTATTTAAGCAAGTGATGGTATCTAACAGTCATAAACATACAATAAGCTGTGTTTTATTTAGAAAACAAAACACAAACCTATTTATACGGTTATGATCAGTGAAATCTGATCCTTCTGTATCCAGAATATATGTTGTTTTTTTCTTCAAAATAACGATGATCAATATCCTATGTCTGTCCAGCATATCTGTAATGTTTTCACTGATCAAAATTGTTAAGTGATCCTTTACTCGTCTGAATGTTCCAGTTTGACACATAATTCACATTGCAATTGCTTCCGGTGAAAACGGATGTTTACTTTTGGACTATTCAACAAAAAGATATTTTACACGCGAAAAGCACTCCAGGGTGCAAGCAACTAAATTTTATGGGTGGTCATTGCAACTCTAATGACGCCCTATTGTGGTAAACTTCGAAAATAACAATGAATCGGAAAAAAAATTGCGGCCATTTTATTTTATTTAGAAAATAGACCACGTGACCAGATTTTATACTGTTAAAAAGTACTGTTACCCCTGTAACAGTATAAATTTCTTGGTCACGGGGTACACTTGCATTAACAGCAAGAATAACTCCCAGAGGCCTATGGGAAACTAACATTACGAAAAAGTGAGGGGTAATAATGTTAAATGACATTAGTAATTTCTACCGAAGCGTACTTATGGTAATGACATAAAGTAAATCGTTTATATCAAATTACAAGAATAATTTTGCAACGACAATTCCAAAAGTATTGACCTCTCTTTCGTCTATTATTACCTTATGGATTTGACCGCATTGTTACTTTAGCAATAGATAATGGTAAACTAATTATACTCCCACATGTCTCTTGAAGAAGGAGATGAATCGCGTCTGAAATTATACTTTTCATTTTCAACGCTAAATTCTGAAATACAAAGCTGTAACTTTGCCAGACAGATGTCTTCAAGCATGTAAATACCTTAAAGTGATAACTATTCTGATTATACAAATAAACGCGCCTTTTTATCAAACTGTTCTTTGAAACATCAATTGATCACTTTTGTTGAAGCATGGTCTTGCCACTGTGATAATATAACCTTATTTATTATACCGTCGACAGGTTAAAGACGATGTTTTATCAGTGGATAATTAATTAACGTTAAGAACTTAAAGCTTCGTTACACGATCACAGGCTGAATAATGGATTCGACCTATCAAAGCAAAAATATCAATGTTTGCAAACATCATACATTATCACACATTCGTATCACATGTGGAATGTTGAGTTAAAGACATAAGATTTGTACATTACTAAATGAATCTTCAACGAGTTTTATACACAGGTTCTGTTAAAGGGAACATTCTTTAATTAAAAAACATTCAAACATTATAATACTCGTATATGTTCATTGCAATTGTGTACTGCTGGTCTTTTTCCATTCACAATTTGTATGAAATTCATCCATTAGACAATAAATACATCATGTTATTCAGTAATTAAATGTCTAGTCAAAAAGTCTGAATAAAAATGCAGGAAAAATGTCAGCATAATGCTTATGTTTCGATATACTTAATCATATCAATATAGATATTCGTACTTACTAATGTCTTGCAAAACATGAATTCAATTACCATCCATTTTTCCAGTAATTATATAGTTTCCTTATCTTAAACCAACACGCTCACAGTAAAATAGATTTAAAGGAGAAAACTACACTCATGAATAATCAATCCGCCTATTATCCCTTTGAAAACTGAAAGCAAAACGCGGTGAATAACTACTAGCTGTAGCGGTGAAATCACACAACAAGTTTCAAGATTTCTGCATCTCGTCTATAGCCTACCGCTGAATCATCCTCAACAGTCTTAAGTGTAGAGTAAAACATAACTGATTACATAACTGACATTTGTTAAACGTTTACGCCTAAATCTTTAATAGGTTATATCCCATCTTCATTTCGTTCGTGAAAAAACAACCCATTTAAAATAAATTGGAATGTAAGGTTTTTGTATCATTGCTGTAATTAATTGATTTTGCATAACTTCTAGCTGCGAAATATTAAATGAAACGACGTCTTACAACTAAATATCATTAGTTGTATGATATCTTTATGAATAAAAAAGAATAAGTGATGAAGCAGTGAATCGTGACACGTCCAACAAATATCAATTTTATGAAATCCTCTAAATAGTCGACTTATCTTAAATTGTTATATCGTTTTCTTATGAAACATATAAACCCGGTAAGCAATTTGATGACTTTATGAAACATATAGGAAATTCATAGTGTAAATAGAAAAAGATATCAAATATATTATAAGATTATCTTAACAAACACATGCGGAATGTTTGTAATTCTACCATTTCGGTAAACGCTATAAACATATAAACATTGAATACACATGTGTTTCTATTACAGCATTACGAACGTTAATTTGATCAGTTTTTACTTGTTCAAAAAGTATTGTCATATCGTAATATTATCAAATATATCTTTCTCAAAGGCAGTGCATTGGGAAATCACCCAAGAACTTTTGTAATTATGAAAACAGCAATAAAGAGCAGAAACTTTATATTCCGACAGGCTGATATGTTCCTACCACACATAATGAAAGCTACTATCTATTGTCCGCCCATCTGTTTATTTGACTATGATTGTGAGAGACAATCCATGCATCTGATACGTCGTTAACAAAATAAACTTGACAATAATTGTAACAATAATTAGACTTGTAACATTTGCCCTGCACATTGCTGTTCACTTGCTCACATAATCCTTACATTGATAGTATGTGTCTGTTTCAAGCAAAATAACTTCAAATAAGCATACCTTTACATACATAAACTATAGTTGCGTTTCCATATATCATATCATTGACGTTCTGTTTCATAATGGCATATATCTTAATGAAATAGTTAAGTGAAATGTTAACAATAGTTTGTTTCATAACATCATAGCTGAAAATATAATCAAATATGTGCTGGCCAAAATAAAACCCTTAGATGAAAATACCTTTGCAACCAATCTATAAACATACTGGTAGATAAGTATAGTGATGAACGAAACAAATGCATTTTATTGCAGGAAACATTCTGTAAAGACGTTCGCTTCAGTTTTCATATACTCATAGTATAGAATAAAACTGATTCATATAATTTATTTATATCCTGTTTAGTCCAAGAATACGACACGTAAACATTAATTTAAAGGGACAAAATTAGAATCGTTATCTCGTTTAAGAGTTATCTGCCATTGAATATACAATAAAAAGTTAAATTCAACAGCAGATAACTCAAAGTCGAAATCGGCGACCAAAAATTGTTTCCGCCTCAAAAGTTTCTTTTGTCTGCGTTAGCAAAATTCTTCCAGGGATATTGTAAGAAAAATGAGAATATGGGCGAACTTTGTGCCATATCACAAAACTGACGTCTTATCCAGCCAGATCTATAGTTATGCTATCACATCTCGTATTGAGTGTGAGAATATTTTACACATGACAGACAAGACAGATATGCATATTCGATCGTTCCTGTTGCGTATTCGGTTGTTGCCTTTTCTTCGTTTTACGACTAAAAATATTTTTTGGTTTGGAAATTTTTTCTATTATAATTTAAAAGTCGAAACATTAATTTTTAAAAATATCTTTTGAATTTTACACGCAATAAAAAAAGTCTAAAACTTTTGACTTCTTTTATCTGGTTATTTGCCGATTAATATTCGATTTTACATAACGTTTTGAATTAAACAATACCAATCATTACATTTTTATTGCACATTAACATTATCTTATTCCGTGTATAATCAGATGTTGCTTGAATGACATCTATAAACAGGTTACTTATAGTTCCTTTAAGACATAGATAACATAGAAATAAATATGCAAAAGGTGACAAATGATTAACTGGAGCAGATTTTTCATGTTTCATAAATATAATATACAATATACAATCACGATAGTTACAACTATAACAAGCTAAGAAGAAGGTGAATAGCCAAATGATGTATTTGCATCTTTTGCACTATATATTTTGTTCTATATACTCGGAGTGTCCATGCGAATATCTGATACACACACACACACTTAAATTCCGAGAGCATTTAAGTAAGGCCAAAAGCAAAAGGCAAGGACGTATGTAACTGGCTTGCAATATTCAAATGATATTGTTTATATATAAACTTTAATTTGGAGGTATTTCACTACTTTATCTGTTCTTTATATTGTTTTATTACATATCTTATTCTTTGATGATATTGAACAGGTGTTTGCAATTGCATACGGTCTTTTAATTATAAATAATAATGCACATAGTTTTACAGTCTGAACGAAAGCTGTAAATAAAAAAAACTCAGCATAGTACAGTATGTTTTATTATCAACATGTAATGAACCCGTCTAATTCGTCAAATTAGTTGGTGTACAACAAAGAGTTACATTAACTTCTTGTTTCCCATAGGGAAATAACGCAACACGTGAAAAACTATAGCTGTAGTTCAAAGCTGTCCGCTTCGGATGCATTTTTCCATCACTGGTTTAGGCACATTCATTTTTAGAGACTAATTAAATTGGAACTAATAGTCTAGAAGGACTAGGAACATATATCAACATTTAGAGGACATACAAGACAGTTGTTACCATGCCTTTGAAATGGAAGGAGTTGCAAAGATCTTGTAACGGTACGACATCTCATAGTAAAGTATTGAACAAGATGTTGTGACATGGTGATACTTATTATAACGTTATTCACATGTCATATGTACAAGCTTGATATTATATAGAATAAGGAATTGGAATTAATACAAATTATATTTTATACTGACAGCAGTATTGCCATTATTTGCTTTTGTGATGTAAAAAGACGATTGATTAAATCTGTTAAACACAAAGGTTTTCCAATGGCATTTTCTATACATTAGGAGGAACACCATTACGAAATAAAAATATAACTTAATTTGAATGTAGTAATATTTCTCAAACAAGAATGAGTAATCTCAATAATAAGTTTTATCTAAGTGTAACTTATTACATAAACATTATACCGTTTATTTTTTGTTAATGATACACTTATTTACTAAGGGACAATACGCTTTTCATGGAATAGCACTAACGTGTCACACTGTAGGTTCCATGATAACCGTCTTATATATACATCTGCATATGTTTCCAAATTCTATTTGTTGAATTCTGCTTCAGCCAGTGCTCGAGGGCTTAGGCAGTAGCTTGCACTTAGGCTCAGTCAACCCGCGCTTACAACATTTTCAACTTTGCCGTTTTTGAAGTTCTTCATGAAAATTCTATTTCTATCCATTTTAAGGTGTACAATGCGTTTGTGCTTAGATAAACAATGTTAACTTCCATAGTAAGCTCCCCTTTTAAGATATTAACATAGCTGCCTTGCCATGCCTCCATTCATGCCTAGATATTTTTCTGTTGGTGTATTTTAAGAAAAACTAAAAAAGATAACATCAGAGTCTAGATGTTATGTTAGAATACCAAACTTTCAAGAATAAACAAGCTGTTTGTATAAAGGAATGGCAAACAGGCAGTACGTCTTCTTATTATTCAAACAATGTTACATTTGACGTTGTTGGATGAGAAAAAAACAGCATAAGCCATTGCTGAAATAATACGATAATTATTTTCGTGTAGAGAAATTAGGCTAATAGTAGAGATTATAATAATCGTAATGTTTATAGTAAGTTAACAATATTTGCAAAAAGCAACGACACTTTCTGTAATATTTTCCTTGCACATTCTTGTAGTAGTGATCTAGAATTACCCGGATTAACCTTGTTGTAGCAGAAATATTCTCTTTGAAACGCCCACTTGATTCTTAATTAATGAGAAAGTTACAATAAATGTTTGGTAATCAAAAGAGAAATACAAAATTCTATTGCAGTGTAAACTTTGCCAGACGGATGTCTCCGAGAAAGTAAATTTCTGTTAAAATTACCTTTCTTAATCATACCTGTTACCAATTATTTCTTTGAAGCAATAACTGATTATTTAACCGAAGAATATTTTCCAGACCATGTTAATTACATAAATTAAGAAATAATATATAAAAAAGTTGATAAAGAGTTAACTTGAGGTACCTCAAGGTTCACCAATTCACCAAATCTTCTTTTTTTACAGAGATTTAGATGAAATTGCATTTTGGTGGTATAAAATTCGTTTTTCAAAAAGCATTTTTAATATGAGACTTTTTCGCTTACCAAGTACAGTAGTGTCAAAAGATAAATACAAGCTTTTCTTCATTTAGATGTTATTATTGGAAAATGCTATTATAGTTTAAAAATGTCTTTAGAGGAGGCATTCAGAGATTTCTTTGCCTTTCATGCTTTGAATTTAATAAATAACCACTATTTTATTTATCTTACAGAAAAATGAACCTACCACAAAACCACAACCATTTGTCTATAACGTGCCTGCTTTTCATACATAAGTCATAAGAAAATGGACACTTTAGCCATTTGTAAATACTTGAACACACGTGATTGGATTAGTAAATGAAAACACAATTTTAAAGAACGAGTAAAGTAAATGAATAGTTTTCTTTCCAATTAAAAAGGATGTATTGTTGTTTTGTTGTGTTAAAATAATTAATCTATTGTTGAATATACTTCAAATGTTATTCTATTTGAAATTGAAGGCGAAAGTTGGTTAAACAACAATGTAATGGTGATGTGGTAGTTAATACACAAAAGCAGTTAAATTATGAGTGATTCATCAGCAACTGTGGACACTCAAACATCGGTGAAACTTTCAATTAATAAACGCTGTCTGTATAAACTGTAGCTATTATGTCATTTTAGTTTCATAACTTTATTATGATTGAATGATATATTATGTCGAATTGT